AAGTATGAATACAAAATACGCAGGACGGAAAGGACTGAAGCCGTATTTATTAATTTGTTCAATAACTACCAAACGTTTCCCACTTATAGGACGCTGACAGCAAAGAAGAAACGTAAGGCCGCCCCGCAAGCTAATTATCCATCGGAGATTGCACAGATCCTGGATATTATCCAGTCCCCATATTTAGTGCAATATTTACAAGCTAAACGAGTCCTGGCGACGGAAGTCAGATGTCGCTGTCGTAAACCGATGCCATTGCAAATATTGCGTCAGCACACAGACGGGTTTGCCTTCAGGTACACGAAAATATTAATATAATGCAGTGCCTAGGTATAACGAATTTCAAACTGTCAAACCAATGAATGATGAACGTATAACGGGATAGCCAAACCTACTGGCCACCGCAAGGCAACCAAACCGCCTGACCACACGGGCGTACGAAATCGGCCGAAGCGCAAGGAGGAAGCGAGCGAGAGAGACCGCAAAGAAATCCCGAGGGCCGGGTTGATACCTAAGCCCGTGAAAGTGCAAAGCAAGCCCAAACCCCTATGGTTGGGTAGCCGTCCCAAGCCGGCTGCGGTGGGGTGTAGGGAGGGGAAGTGAGCCGTACGGCAGGCAAAGAAAGCAAACGGCAAGCGGCCTTAGAAGACCGCACGGGAAACCAGCAACCGGGTTTAACGTCTGTACGGGTAAGCCACGAAGGGCTAGTGCAGCCCCTGAAGTATGTAGAAAGGGCAGGTGCACTGACGGGGCAGACCTGCACCGATTAAGTGCACCTAACGTCTGCGCGCCTAGCCAACTCACGCGGTAGCCGCATGGAACGCGGTATGGGAGTTCCCCCCCACTGCCATCGAATACAACCGGGCTGTTTCGTAAAGGCGGGGGGTGGATGGTAGCAGTCTGTTAACACGACTGAAGCAGCTTGCAATTAGAAGCATAATGGAAAGCGTGTTCAATCTCAATCCGCAAAGGTTAAGTCTTTCGCCTTTTACTAAAGATTTCCGTGTGGAGGTGCAATGCAATGAGCCCATATAGACAGTCTTGCAGCGCCTAGTTCTCGGGGCGGTTAAGGTGAAGGAGAAAGTCATCCTGACAGAGCCTCTACGCCAAATCAAGCAAACGTAACTGGAGAAACCAGTCGTAGTAATGTAGCAAGGGCTCTAAGTGGCCGATGAGCGGAAATGTGAACGTGAGCAATAACATGAAGGACTTTACAGCATAACCGCCCTTCCTTCGCCCAATTGGCAGCTTTAAGTGCATGCGGGAGGTATGGCAATGGCAACACAGTAGCAGACAAGGTATCCCAAAGCGTGGTCGAATAAAATAAACCCCCGCGCGGCCCACACGCCTAATATATGTAACCTAATAAAAACACGCCTACTGATAGGGAGCAAGTACGTCAACAATGCTGACTCATAATCCCGGGCTACTATCATTTGTCTCGCCCATGAAATCTCCACGAAGTTGCCTATAACTTTAAAGGAAGAGGTTCAGATTTGCTAGGCGGGTTGCATATGCAAAGGAGCTTTGCCTCCTAACCTTCTTCCAGGCTCTTCTCTACACTCTTTCAATACAATTTTTATCTTAAACCGCCCCCGGTCTCCAGGCTTGTGTGCAGTATCCCAAGTGTGGCCACACGAATGTTCCGAATGTCTTTGAGAAACCTTCTTCGTCAGAATGCATAAACGTACGATTGATCTCGTACAGTACGGGCATTGCGCTTTTTGACACTGTCAAACAGTGAGTGGACGGTTTTTGGGAGTTCTTCGTCAGCAAACAGAGGTCTTTTTGGACTTCGACGTTTTGTAAGACTGCACAGCCAAGAAAGCGGTCTCTTGTGTTGGTGGATCTGGCTGGTTTTCCTACGCGAAGTATGCTACACTTGCCAACGTCAAACCACAGGATTCAACAATTTGATCACTTTTCCAACATTCAATATCTTTATGTCGCCTGAAAACATTGCTAATTCGAGATTCAAAGCTCTTGCACAATCGTCTACGAATATGAGGGACAAATGGGTCCCAGTATTGAGCTCTGCGGAACACCTCTCTCGACTAAAACAGGATCTGATTTCCCTTGACCGATACACGCAACCTGCTGTCGACCCAAAAGTAAGTTTTCGATCCATTTAAAAAAGTTGCCTCTAATTTCAATTTTCTCATTCTGTGCAACAATCTTTGCTGTGGCTCAGTGTCAACCGCCTTCTCGAAGTCAATGAGGGTCATGTGGACAACGTGCCTGTCGTCGAAAGGGGGGGTTGAGCTCTGGAGAGATTGCAGCAAGTTTGTCATGCAGGATCTTCCTTTCCTAAACCCATGTTGGCCTTTCGATAGCGGGCCCTGAGCTTCCAGGAAATGCACCAGTTCACTCTTTATGGTCGTTTCCACAACTTTGCTGTGAATACATGTCAAGCTTATGGACCTATGATTGGTAGTCGATGTCCTGCTACCTCCCTTGCATAGCGGCGTAATATGCGTCAGCGTCCAATCGATAGGATGTGTTCCAGCGTCGAATGACGTTTAAAAGAGCATCGACAAAGACACTTATAGCTTAGCGGCAAGTTCCTTGAGAAGATTGGTTGAAATCTCGTCTGGTCCTGGCGACTTTGATACGTTCAATGCCTCTAATAATCTTCGAACAATGCCTTCTGAGAAGAGTGTACTATGTACACCTGGAGTGAGCAGTACTTCTGTGGATTTAGGAAGGAACCCTGCCGCGTTGGCAAAGACCAATTAGAAAAACTGTGAAAAATAAGCAGCTTTATCCCTACTTTCAGCAATCTCAACAGCATCAATACAGATTCTAAGATTTAAACTGTTCACATAAAAATCGTTCCTTTTTTGCTAAACATTTTGACTCGGGAAAAATCACTTAACTTATTTTCTGTCCATAGTGGATGGAGTCATTTTATGCTGAAAATTTTGAATTTATGATTTCAAACTAAAACGAATTCTTTGTTCCCCTCTCTCTCTCTCTCTCTCTCTCCTTATCGAGGGGATTTGGTTTTCGTTCCTTGTTGTTCTTCTAAAGTGGCTGTAGTGTAATTTTGGCCTCTGGGCTGCTGTTCGTAGCAAATTTTTCTGATATTCCCGGCTCGTTTTTGCAAGCACGCTTTTCAGTTTGTTTATTTGTGTTTTGTACGTGTTGAAATACTCAAATTGCTCAGAAACTAGACGAACTAAACTTTGCCTTGTTGAGCTGTCTCCAGATGTTTTAGCAGTAACTGAGACCTGGCTGTCCGGAAATATTAGCGATAACGAAGAAGTCTTGCCTGGATACCAAATTTATCGGAGGGACAGGGAACATCGTCAGGGTGGTGGTATCGTTGTGTATGTGAATGACGGTCTGTCAGTGTCGGATAACACCACCAAGTTTGCGTGCAGTACGGAAGCTATCTGGTTGACCATCAAGGCTACCGGTTCCCCGTGTCTCGATGTCCTCACTGTCTACCGACCACCTAGGACAGACCGAATCGCCGACACTCAACTATTGGAGCAGTTGGAGAAATTTTCCAGTCGACCTAACATCATGATAATGGGCGACTTCAACGCACCAGGAACAAACTGGAATACCCTCCAAGCGTCAGGTCCAAAATCGGTATTCGATTACCGCCTGTTGAATAAAAAATTAAATGCGTGCCTCACACAACATGTAATGTTCCCAACGAGAACACGTGAAGGCCAAAGGGCAAGCTGTCTGGATCTGGTCTTTATGAAAACACCCGACAGCAAAGACTAGATCAACTCCACGCCGCCCCTTGGCCGAAGTGACCACGTAGTGCTTATGTGGGATTATTCGTTATTCTCCATTTCACATACTCCAGACCACAAAAGGCGTAATGTTTGGCGGGGCGACTTCAATCAGATGAGGGCAGACTTATCCGGTCTTGACTGGGGCTCATTGTTTACGGGAAGTGCCAACGATGACTGGGAGCTGTTCAAGAATGTCCTTCTGCAGCTCATCAACAACCACTGCTCACTGGCTAGTGTAAGACTGAACAAACGCCCTGGGTTGCTAAATAGCAACCTCAAGAAAGAAATCAACAGGAAGCACAAATTGTGGAGAAAATACTGCGTCACTATACAAGCTGAATGCTTCAATATCTACAAGACACAGAGGAACAAACTGAGGAAGCTGATAATGCAGACGCGGCGGGAATTCGAGAAGAACGTGCTACAAAAGCAACGCAGAACCCAAAATTGCTCTACAGCTACCTCCGACGAAGTACAAGGAACAGGCATCAAATCCCCTTGATAAAGACTACTGATGGCGTTGAGATCGCTGATAGTAGGGATAAAGCTGCGTAATTTTTACGGTTTTTCCAATCAGTCTAAACAAACGAGGCAAGGTTCCTTCCTCCCTCCACAGAAGAACTGCCCACTCCAAGCGTCAGCGATATACTCTTCTCAGAAGGTATTGTCCGAAGAGAATTAGAGGCATTGAACGAATCGAAGTCGCCAGGACCAGACGAGATTCCATCCAAGCTTCTCAAGGAACTTGCCAGTGAGCTTTCTGTGCTTTTGTCCATGCTCATTCAAACGCCATTTGACACTGGAAAACTTCCTATCGATTGGAAGCTAGCGCATATTACTCCGCTACACAAAGGAGGTAACAGGGCAGCGACGACAAATTACCGGCCCATAAGCTTGACATGGATTCTCTGCAAAGTTATAGAAAGGATCATAAAGACTGAACTGATGCAATTCCTGGAAGTTCACGGTCTGCTATCGAACTGCCAACATGGGTTCCGGAAAGGAAGATCCTGCACGACAAACTTGCTGCAATCTCTCCAGAACTGGACCCGAGCTCTCGACGACAGGCACGCGGTCCACATAGCCTTCATCGACTTCCAGAAGGCTTTCGACACTGTGCCACACCAAAGGCTCTTACATAAGCTGAAAAAAATAGGGATCGGTGGCAACTTCCTTAAATGGATCGAAAACTTCCTTGTGGGTCGACACCAGGTTGTGTGCATCGGTCGGGGAAAATCAGATCCGGCTATGGTCGATAGTGGTGTCCCCCAGGGTTCAGTTCTGGGACCCATTTTGTTCCTTATCTACATTGACGATGCCGCGAGCGATTTAGACTGTGAAGTAGCAATGTTTGCGGAGGACATGAAGATATGGAGTGTAATTCGGGGTCCTGTCGATGAAGACAGACTGCAGATGAACCTGAATCGTTTGGAGGAGTGGTCAAACCGTTGGCTCCTGCGGTTCAACGTTGCCAAATGTAGCATACTTCGCCTAGGCAACACAGCTAGATCCGCCAGCACAAGAGGCTACTTTCTGGGCGATGCAGCCCTACAAGAGGTCGAAGCCCAAAGGGACCTCGGTGTGCTGACGACGAGTTCCCTAAAACCATCCGCCCACTGTTCGAGGGTGACAAAAAGCGCAATGTCCGTACTGTACGCCATCAAGCGTGCGTTTATGGACTTTGACGAAGAAGCTTTCTCTAAGACATTCGGAACATTCGTCCGGCCGCATTTAGAGTACGGCATACAAGCTTGGAGGCCGTGGGCTGTTGTGGATCAAAACTGCCTCGAAAGAGTCCAGAGGAGAGCCACGAAGATGGTTAGGGGTCAAAACTCCTTTCCTTATGCAACCCGCCTAGTAAATCTGAACCACTTTCCTTTGAGTTACAGGCACCTTTGCGGAGATCTCTTGCAAGCCTTCCGCATTGTAAAGGGGTTGGATTGCAGTCTGGCCTTCGAGGACTCTTTTCAATTTTTGATGAGCTGCGGAAGGATATTTTTGATGAACTCCCAATCATCGTTGTCATTACCCGTAAACGTTGAGCTCCAGTTGAGGCCGGATAATTCTGCCCACATGTCATTGTGATCGAGTCGGTTGGCTTGCTGTCATATCAGATTTGCCTTAACCACAACGGAGTAAAAACTACCTTTCTCATGCTTATGTCCCCACAAATTTCGTCCAATGACTTTTATATCCGACGTCAGGGCAGACATTTTTCTTCTTGGCAGCCGACAACATTATTTGACGATGTAGATTTCGTTTTTTTGCCCGCTGTCCGCCATGTTTATAATCGACTTTTTGTTTAGTTCTGCTAAGAAATTATATCTAAGCTTAAGTTTCGTATCTAGGCGAGTTCTAACGGGAATGCAAATAAATATTTAAGGGTTTCAGGTTTCCGGACAAATTCTAACTGGCGCCGACATGGAGGCACTGCTTATATTGTCACATTTGTACGGAATGTTTATTTGAATTTCGCCTTTTGCGCTAAATAAACTGATCTAGTACGTCATTGTTTTCAATCTTTTGCAACCGTGACCCTTGATCCTTGACCCAGAACACGAACAAGTTTTGTGTTTGTTTGTCTCTCCCAAACTGGAGCCTTATTCGTAACTTCGCCTAAGGCGTGTTTTTCTGCGTTATGAGTCTTGCGTTTTGTCCTCTTTGTTTGCGCTCCGGTCTGCAGTTTGAGCTCTTAAGGATAAAAACATCTGTCGGAGAACTTAGCGGCATCTGCTCGAACCTCGGTTGTTCATTTCCATTCGAGTCTTATACAGGATTGTCAAATGCAGGTAAAGAAAAAAATCTATTGCATACAGTTATATGTTTAGTTTGCAAAGAAGATCCACTAAAGGAGCAGAATGAAAAAAACTCTTGGGCAGACTTTATGGATGAACTTTTCGGTCCACCAGATGAGTCAACAAGCCTGCCCTTCGGAAAAATGCCTCAGGAACAGGAATTCCAGTTCCAGCCCCCTTTGACGGACTCCAACTATGATCGGGAGGGGGTTCACATGGTTCCCGAGTCGTTCCCTGAAATGTTATCATGCAATGGTCTCCTCCCGAGATATATCGCTGATTCTCTTAAACAGGGTACGTCACTTGCCGACAGGCTTTCGAACCGAGACGCTTTGTAAGTATTATGTTTGGTCTCCTTCGACCAGTTTTCGACCCGCGGTATCCTATCTTCTTTTGTCGGGGTTACTTTCCAGTCCGATGTCTTCGGACGCACATTCGTACGCAGCCCTTGATAAAATCCAGTGATATGCGTACGACATGAACACCCTAAACAAGAGCAGGTGACTGGCTATCAGGGTTCAAGCCATTTTCTTGATCTCCCTTAGTGCGTGTGCTATGTTGCCTGCGTGCACCGACCCTAGTTAACTAGTTCATTTTAGTTAGTAAATTAAATGCACTAGGAGCGGTTCGGGGGATTGGGTTAAAACATGCTCTACCTATCGCTTCATCTCAGACGCACTCTACATCCGATTTGATTCTCGATTGCTGTTTTTTCCCAAATTCGCTCCATGCTGGAGCTAGGGATAATGGCAAAGGATCTTCTGCCTAACCTTTGCTCTTGTCGGCCGTTTCAACTTGTTTATTTGACGTATTTTGAGGGCGTAGCAGGCTGGTCTGTTTAATGCAACCCCTACCCTCGAAAATGGTTTTCCTTATCGCCTGCGTATAATGGGATCACTTTGTATTTCACTGTGTACACAGTTTATTGGTAGTGTTGATGTATACTGTGAGTGTTTCCTAGCGTTCTTTCCTCTTTTCACTCTTAAAATGTTACTTTCGGCGGCTTCGCTTTTTGCTTTTACTGGGTAAAGCACTTTGTTGGATAATCTTTGTTCACAGTAAATTCCTTTCGGTCATCTTAGTTAAATGCACGACGGTTTCGATCTTCCTTATAATCCTACCAAATTAAAGTTGTAGTTCACTTCATCGAATGCCGTCTTATATCCTTAAGCATTCGAGAGGCTAGTGTCTATGCCAGTCCTGCCGTCAGTGTAGTGTTTCCACCACATCCATGAACACACAACACTTCTAGATCGAAACGACTTTTGCTTGCTATTTATACATTTTTCCGCCATTCCCAGAGCGCGTCTGAACCGTCATGGGTTTGTTTTGAACTAGGCGACACATCACTCTTTAAAAGGAATCAAACTGTGTGGTAAGCCAATAGCAACCCAGAACACCCTCATCATCCCCAATCTAGCTAAGTGAATCCTGCTTTTCAGTTGATATGGCGTTATTACCCAAAGAAACTGTAAATCGAACCATTAGTTGGTTTAGCTGGGGTGATTGGGGCTTTTTGCATTAGTTCAGCTCTACTCCTCAATGCTTCCATGCAAATTTTAACGGATGTTTTGTTTATTCTAGGCCACGCGACTCCTCCCCTTCCAAATGATTCGAATTTCGATAGTGGCGTGTCGACCTCCTCCCTCGTCAGCTACCATGAAAATCTTTCCATCCGTGCCCGCCAACGAGTCACTGAGACCCAGGCATGTTTGTCCCCAGCCCCTGCTAGACCGACCGCCAAGTCCGCCTCAAAGAGCGTCATCGAACAGTTGTTAGACATCCATCAACCTGACCACTTAAATCCTCACCCCTAGCGGACTTCCCTCTAGTCCGTTCTCCCCCGTTTTATCTCACTTGTACATAATATACCCTGTTTCTGCACTTATTTCGGTTGTTGTAAAGCAATGTGTTGACCTTGACCGATTTTGGTCTTGGATTTGTGGTAGTGTTCAAGTTAGGCAGTATCTCTTCAGCTTCTGCATTCCGGGCGTTACACTGAGTAAGCCTACAACACTGCTAATGGTCGTTGGCGTAGTTTTGTTTTATTTTCTATTCAAGTGGACCGGGTGCCACCTAGAAAGCCAGACCTCTGGCATAAGTATTCCTTCCGAAAACAATCAGAAGTTATCAAGTGTTCTGTTCCTTAGGGCAAAGGTACGCTTGCATGTAAATGCGTTCGAATCTGGCTATCCACACAGGCGGACCCGGCGTGCAGCGTTAGTGGCTACTCTTTTATGATCGAGGTACCCCGGGCTAATTGTGTGTTCCATAATGTGTGTGTGTGAGCATGTACATACATGCTTCCAAATACGGATCATGCGGTAGACACATAAAACCGACACGGGGGCTTGATTACGACGCCACGGATGTCCATAACGGTTGTCTCACGGAGGGCGTGGTGGGACACGCAGGCTCGCGCCAGTCACTTGCGTCCGCTTCCCGCATCTGATGACTGACCGGCTCAGACAGCGAACTGATGTTTGGGAGAGGGAAGAACCACCTCACAGGGCGCTCAGCGCATATTTTCAACTGTGGACACCGGCGCGCCCCCAAATTATCCCGTTGCATTAAGAATTGGGCCGGAAATTTGTCAACTGGAGGTATAGCCTGGTCTTTTAAGGGCGGACAGCCGGGCTTCAGTAGCCCCTTGGCGTGCTTTCCACGGCACTCCTACTCAGTTGAGTTAAGTTTCCTCTGTTTACAGGAAACCCTGGTCCGTTACATGCAGGCCAGGCGTGTCCGTCAGGCGCATAACGGCTGTTTATTGTCAATCACTGCTTCCGACTCCGCCTACTGCCTTACTGTTTTGACACCGGTCGCCGGAGGGGGTGTTCGCTATCACAGGCAATTCAGCGTTCCCGAACTAACTGCGCCGTGGGGCACATGGTGGTCATCGTTCGCGACGGTCGGTCTGGTGACGCGACACGCGATCTTGACGCAGCGGAGATGCGAACGGTCAATGACCTGTATGGACGCCTGACTCGAGACGTCCTTGATCAAGTCGTTTGCAGGTGTCTTGCGAGTGCTTTATAAAAAGAGCTGAGTCACTGGCAGGGCTCCTGTTCGTACCAACGGACGGGGACGGTGGTGCCTATTTAAATTATCGTGGCCGTGAGGGCATCGACAGGTTGACTCGAGCCCATTGTCGGATGCATGTTCTCTCTCAGGCGGAGTTGTTCCATCGCAACTGTTTTCAAGACTGAGGGTAGACGTCCACAAATTTACCAGGGGTTCGGTTTTTCCTGCCCTCCGTAGTTCACCAGTTGAAGATCGCGTTCAACTGGCCTTCTGGCTCTCATCACCAGACAAATAACTCTTCAGCAGGGGCCGTACTCCTGGACGATGATGTCAGGGAGGAGCGCGTTATTGGGTTCGCGGGACAAGTGGTTTTTTCAGTCGGCGTAGCGACCCTTCGCCACGGAACTAGTAAAATCCATCTCTGACCAGTGCTGGGTTACAAAGTTTTTGATGTGACCCCTCTGTCCAAGCAGTAGTATCTTCCGGAGGCATCATTTGTCAAAGACCTCGTAGATCCGCTGTGCGCAGGTGCTGCACTGGGCAGCCGCAAAACAGGTTTGCTCTGACTGCACCCCACAACGGTCTCTTGTTTTCAATAATGAAGTGAGACTACCAGCGCCAGAGATGACATGACGTGCTGTGCGCAGGTAGTATGCCCATGAGGAAGTCTTGGGGGAATGAAGTTGTCGATCAGCAAGTCTTTGACTATGCAGTGGGAGTTCGCCTTTCAGTGTTCCAGCTCTCCCAGTGTCCAATTCCCATTGGAGAACGAATGGGCGGTTAAGAAATGCCAGAGCTTCTTTGAAAAATTGCTGAAACAGGGTGATGCCATCGGCTTAAACACAAAGATCCTGTCCCAC